TCCTTCTTTTCTTTTCTTTTTTCCCTCATCCCAGTTGTTCTTTCCTATTAAGCAATTTCTTTCCCTTTTTCAATATCTATTGTACTTTTCAGTTTTATTTATGATTTCAGGTTCTTACAGTAGGAAGATAATACATTGTTTGCACGTGCAGGTCTGATTTATTTTGCTTATGAGTATGATCTCTAGTTGCATCCATTTACCTAATAAAGCCTCAAGTTTATCCTTTTTTATAGCTGACTAATACTCCATTGTACAAAAACACAACATTTTTCTTATCCACTCCTCAGTGAATGGGCATTTGGGTTGTTTTCAAAATTTTTGTGTGACAAATTGTGCTGCTATAAATGTGGGTGCACATATAGCTATGATGTTTTTAATTCTGGGAAAATACTCAGAATAGGAATGGCTGGGTTAAATGGGACCTCTAATCCTAATTTTTTGAGGAATCTCCAGACTGATTTCCACAGTGGTTGTACCAGTCTACACTCCTATCAACAGTGGAGAAGAGTTCCTTTTTCCCCACAGCCTCTCCAGCATTTGTTGTTGGTTGATTTCTTGATGATAGCCATTCTTACTGGGGTGAGATGGAATCTCAGTGTTGTTTTAATTTGCATCTCTCAAATGACCAGTGGTGCTGAACATTTGTTCATTATTTATTTGCCATTTGTATTTCTTCATCTAAGAAGTGTGTATTCATCTCAGATGCCCATTTTTGGACTGGGTCTTTGAATTTGGGGGGTCTGGGTTTTTTCAATTCTTTATATATAGAACTTTGTCCTGTGAGTAAAAAGAAACTCCTCCTTTATGACTGCTTTGAGCTGGGACCTGGCTTCTTTCTTGCTTTAGACTCAAATTGAAGCACTGGCTCTTTCTGGGTCTGAAGCCCACTGTGCTTCAGATTGGAACTTCACTGTCAGATCTCCTGTGTCTCCAGCTAGGGACTTGCCAGCCTCAATAATCACATGAGCTGATTTGTTTTAATAATAAACCAATTGTTATTTATTGATCTATCTCCTATTGATTCAATTTCTCTAGAGAACTTAATATGGAAGAAGAGTAAGTACATGGGGTAAAATGTGTGAGGTGCAACTAGGAGCAGAGCTCAGGCTCTTTGGGGTGGTTGCCAGTGAGTCATGATTTGGGCATAGTCTTAATTTAAGGGGATGGTCAAGAGTCCTGCCATTTCAGCCGTTCAGGCTGTTTATCACGTTGGCTAGTGGTATTTCCTCTCTCCTACCAGGTCAAAGTTCAGGAAGATATCACTCATACGTGAATTTTTTCATTTTTACCACCTACCCAGAGCATTTTCCTCTCTCTTTTTTGGGTAGCGGGAATCGAACTCATGATCTCATGCTTGCTAGGTAGGTGCTATGCCGCTGAGCTAAATCTCCAGCCCTCAGAGTATTTTAAATATAAAATCTGTATAAAGATAAAACTTTGCCACTTGGTCTATTGACACATATTTATGTTTATATGGTGGTATAAGTGTGTGTAAGTGTATACAACATGGGAATAAGTTATTTGATTTGCTTTAATGCCTAAAATGGAAGTAAGGACAATTATATTTGTATAGCAAGTGATAAACACCTAAATTATGGAGATTTCTTTGTTTTACTACTAGATGAAGTTTGTCAAAGGTAAAAGATGATTGGTAAAGGTTTTGGTACTATCGTAGTTTAGATCTAAAATATCCCCAAAAGACTTGTTTCTCAAAGCAGCATGTTCAGAGGTGGGAAGCAATTGCAGTGCAATCATCTTGATCTTACCAATGAATTAATTCATCTATGGGTTCTTCATTTGATGGGGAAGATGGTGAAATTTAGGAAATGGGACCAGTTGAAGGAGAAGGTCCAGAGGGGGTGCCCTTGGGGGCTGTGTCTTGTCCCAGGCCCCTTCTTCTCTTGCTCATGGTCTCTTGCTGCCTTCTGCCCCTCGTGAAGCAAGCAGTTTTAGTCTACCCTACGCACCCTGCAGTGATGTTTCGCCTCAACACAGGACCAGAAGCAACAAAGCTAAAAGACCATGGACTAACACCTCTGAATCTGTGGGCCCAAATACATATTTCCTCCTGTAAGTCACTTTGCTCAAGTATTTGGTCACAGTGATGGAAAACTGACTAATAAAGAAACTGGCACCAGGGGCTGGGGATTTAGCTCAGTGGCACAGCGCCTGCCTGGCAAGCACAAGGTCATGAGTTTGGTTCCTGGTACCAGAAAAAAACCAAAAAAAAAAAAAAAAAAAAAGAAACCGGCACCAAATTATCTTAGGTCCTAGACTGGGGATTGTGAAGCCCGTTCACTGGCTAGCAGCAGATGTCTCCTCATTATGATAGATGTAGTCTTTGATTTTAGAAGCAGCTATCTAGGCTCTTGTAGGAATTGCTAATAGGAATTTGTATCACCTTTCAAGTTCTACAAAGGACTAGTGGAACATAACTTCTGAAGGTTATTTCTCAAGTCACTTCTTGCTGTCTCTTCTTTCTGTCCAGGGAGGAGATAAGAAAGGTTATGAGGGCTGTTTGGTTTGATCTTATTAGGTCATCAGATTCATTATTAAGTGGAAGGTTGAACAAATATTTACTTTTGACTTTTAATTGGTTACTGAATTTAAGAAAGCTTTGTCATTGGGACCAAATGCATAATTTTCAGGGTTCTGTTAACATGAAAATGCCAGGTTCTTTGTTGAAGCACTATTAAGAATATCAAGAGAACAGAACATGAAAGCCCATTAAGGGTCTGAGCGCAGGATCCCGTGCAGGTGCACAGGCAGTGCACCTGTGAAGCAAACTGCTTAGCATCACGTAGTTAGCAACCTGATTTCATTAAAATCCTTACAAAATTCTCACCCCATCCACTCCCACCAATTCCCAGTTCTTCCATTTCTTCCGAAATTTTTACTTCTGCACAATACTATGGGGAACAAGAAGGTCTGATGAAAATATCTTAATTGGCTTAAACTTAGACTGTTTTGTATATCTGAATATCAGAGTTCTTACCCTGTCTGATGACTTCCTCTAATATTACTCAGCATCTTAGTTTGCTTCAAAGTCCTGAACATACATGTGATGAATGTGTAATGTAATTCAGTATTTGTAGGAGATTGATTACTATTAAATAAATTAGGAATATTCTTCAAAGGCCCTTGACATGGAACATGGGGAAATGACCCATAAAGATGAAGTCACCTGCACATACTGAAGGGGAATCATGTCAAGGGAGATGGCATATACCTGGACAACGGAAGATTTATAAGGTAAGCTAAAGACATGTATTCTAATCAAAGTAGCTTCTGATTGCTTAATTTCCTATGGTACTATCTATAGGAGAACTCTCTAGAAACAATAAGCTTATATACATAAACAAATTAAAAGGAGTTGGCTCCCATGATTGTGAAAGTGGGCAAGTGCTAAGGTCTGCAGGGTAAGTCAGAAAGCCAGTCCATATGCTAGGAGGCACCAAGGCAGAAAGATGTCTCTCTATCTGTGAGACAAATGAGCCTTTTTGCCCTCTTCTGGCCTCTACTGACTGGAGGAAGCCCATCCATACTAGGGCGGGCAATCTTCTTTATCAATCTTCCTATTTAAATAGGACATTGGTCATCAGAAAATATGCCCAGAGAAATATCTGGAATAATATTTGACCAAGTCTCTGGGGACTCTGCCCAGTCAAGCTGACACATGAAGTTAACCTTCTTACCACAAACTCTGTCTAGCATTCAACATTCCTGTTTGCAGGAAAGTTCCCCCAAAGAATTAAATTAAACTTTACTCAAGCAAAATAAAACTGAACTGATTCATAAACTGGGTAGTCTCAGAACTAGATGAGGTTCTGAGAGGTCTCACCAACAATGGGATCTGATGCATGTACAGAAAAACTGCAGTACCACATGGAGAATGACTGGCTACAGATTAGTGAAACAACCAGTTAATTGGTTATGGCTTAACAAGTTAATTATTCATATTTAATTAGTTAATTGACTACATGACCTTCTGCAACCAAAATTCAATTACTGTGACTAAGGTCTTTGTTCGGTCTGTTGAGGTCTGAGTAGATGCCCAGTGCAAACCCATGGCCGTTTATAAAGTTTTATTTAACACATACTTAGTATGGAAAGCTAGCTACTGTTTAATTCAACCGTCTGGATAACCAAAGATTCACTAGAACAAAATTTAATAGAACTAAAGATTTATTTACATATAACTCTTGCATCAACCATTTATTGAGTGCTTGCTTTGTGCTAGGCACAAGATGAGGTCACAAAGGTGACTTTAAAAAGCTAGTTAGCAACTAGGACAGTGGTTGTTAAGGATAATCTTAATTATTGGGCTTTATCTGAGAATTTCTTCCATCTCATTTTATGCCTTTCATTGGAGATGTGGCTTCTTTTCTCTGGTAATTGCACTTTTAGAGGTGGAGGTCCACAAGTGTTCTCGTCACTACTGCACGGAATGTGGTTTGGTCCTAAAGGAAAAATAGAATGAAAAGTGGATTAGAAAGTAGCTGTTATCATTGGCACCTGCCTCAGTGGGGCAACAGGAATTGGGGACAGTAGCTACGGAAAAATGAGAAAGAACCCCGGATGGAGCAGAGATGGTGAGACTGAGTGGGAGGGAGCGAGGTGGGTGGAGACAGCAGGTCACATTCAGGCGAATTGGACTGTGTCAAGAGAAAAACAGAATAGTTTAGAGCTTAGAGAGGGCAGATACAGAAAGAGAAAAGAAGAGCCCTCATCCCTGAATTCCTTGAGAAAAAACTAGAGGCTTGAGGTCTCCCAGACAGTAGTAGCCTGCATGGGTCTGAAGGAGCTTGAACTAAAAGAAAGACTTGGTAATTAATTAATTAAACATTAATGCTATGTCTTCCCTTACTTTGTACTTTTTAAAAATTTTTTCAACTTTGTGCCTTTGTGCATGCTGCCCTCTCCGCCTGGAATATCTCCTCTCTCTGCCATCACCTGGTTAGCACCCATTAATTATTAGGTCTCAGCTCAGCTGTTATTTCCTCCCAGGAGGCTCCTGTGACACCACAGACTGAGTCTGATGTCTTTTCTCCTAACCTCTCCTCTCATCCTGTTTAAGAGCTTATCACACTAATTGCAATTGCTTTCAAACACAGCTGCATTCCTGAAACAGCCAGGAACTCCTGGTGACGATGGCTGTATCTTGCTCGAAGCTCTGTCTTCAGCATCTACTTCAGTGCCTGGCACCAGGTAGAAATTTAGTAGCTATTTGATAACTGAAAGAAGGAATGAAAAAATGAGTGAGGAGCTCATGCCCGCTTTTCCAACAGCATTTAAGACACTGTCCTGGTTATTTGGTGGAAGTGTCAGGAAGAGTTATGTAGAAGCGGTAATCAAAAAAAAGAATTAGACCCTGTTGTTGGCCTCAAAAAGCTTATAGTCTGGCAACATTTATGATAGTGGTGTTGTACAAGACCAGGGACCTAAAAAATGCCGTAGCACAAGACAAGATAGTAGGATCCCTAGATTTAGCAGACAGAGATACAAGGCGCCAAGTTAATCTTGTATCTCACCTGAACAATAAATAGTACATATATATCTCCAAATATTTTGGAGATACAGATGCTAATCATTCATGCTTATGAAAATTTACACATGACTGGATGTCCTACACTTCACCAGGCCTAAACATAGGGCAGGCTATGAAAAACTGCTTCTGTTTTTTTTCCAGAGATGGGACGGTGGTATTGAAGAGAGGTACGGGGTTCAGCAAAGATTTTCTGAACAAAATAGGAACTGAACTGGGTCACAGGGATGGCAAGAAAAAATGTGAGGAAACGGTGGAAGAAACCGCCGGTGACAAAGCAGGAGAGCGGGATGTTCGGAGACTGAAATTTGGTTTGGGCAGCGTGCAAAAAAGCAGCGAGAAACTCAGGCAGACTGCTGGGCAGGGTGTGGTGATGCTGGATGGACCAAAGCCTCAGTCTCCTGGGTTTCCACCGCTGCTTCCTGCGTCTTGGCCACAGGCCAAGACTGGGTCTTTCTGCCCAGGCAAATGTCCCATCCTTCCATAGGTAATTAGGCTGAGATATCAGTCTCCCTTTGTAAACAGTGCAGAACAAAGACTTGGAACATTTTGCAAATATTTTGCTCAGTGTTTGCATTTTTTTTCAAATGCTGGTGTCAAGAGAGCATGCTTTCAAAATGAAAGGAAAAGTGAATACAAATGATGCCTTATCAAAATAAGATGTAGGAGTCTAAGAAATACTATCTTCTAAAGCATTTGTAACTTAGCTATTCCCCATTTTCTGTTACAAATCAGTTCAGCATTCTAGAGCATGTATACATAATATGAAACAGATACAAAGAGCTGATTGATGAGCCTGGAAAGAGGTGGAAGTGTTTGTATATAACTTTTACTGAGCACTTAATATGTTCCAGGTGTCAGTATATGCTATTGCCCTTGATCATCACAGTATTATAATACTATGTTATATATGTTAACACAATGACATTATAATAATTTCACTGTATGTCACAATGTTCATTTTCTCATCTATGATCGCTCAACTTGCAGTTGGTTATTTTGGAATTCAAATCTGACTCGATTCTAACATCTGTATTGTTTTCACTATACTATAAGTATAAATTATTACATATATAAATTATTGCACACTCATGGTAGATCTATACTGGGAACAAAGGAGAAAACTAGTTTGGTCTTGTGGATATCAGAGTGGCATTACAGGAATACAATGCTTGAGTAGTGATTGACAAAATTATTTCACCATCTAGTCAAGTTAATAATAGGTGATGTATGAAAGATACAAGTAAAAGAGGTATTGATAGTTTCTAGAATAGGTGTAGTATTTTATCAGAATTGGCTATCATTTGATTCCTATAATTCATCTAATATTTCACACTGAGGACACAAAATCTTGTGCTTGTTCCCCCTGCCTATTAATCATTAACATCATTAGTAATACTCATTAATCATTGTAATTTTCATTTATTTTATCATTGCACTTTGGTGGTATTTTTGTGAGAAATACTACACATTCACATAGAAATGTGTTTAAAATTTCTTCATAATTTTGTAATCTACATGAATGATTGCATAGTTAGGTTGATTAAATTCTTTCCCCGTAGTTCTTTAAATGGCATAAAATGCCCTTACCTAAGTAAATGTGTTATTGGTATAAATATTCAATTCTGTAATTGCATAAGTAAGATTAAAATCCCTAAAAATAAAGGTCTGAAGTTTTAGCAACATATTCCTTAGAAGAAAGCTGCTGAGTTGTTGTTTCTTTAATTTTTAAAAATAAACTATGATTATAAAATAGGAAAACAAAGTGTTTTTCAATATTTTTCTTCCTTAAAAACATTAACCAAATTTTAACCAAAAGAGTAAGGCATTTGCTTTGAGTACTCTTGTGTGGTGAATGGCTATTACAGAAACACTGAGAAGATTCAGTCCTAGTCTGGCTTCCAAATCTTTTCTACAAGAAGCTCTCTTGCCTTCCTTTGCTGAATGTTCACCGTTTTCCCCTCAGTAGCTTATCAGTGCGTTCCCTTGGAAGATTTGAAAATTTTTCTTGTGTTAAAAGACATACCCATGCAAGGGGCTGGGGATTTAGCTCAGCGGCAAAAGCGCCTGCCTGGCAAGCGCAAGGTCCTGAGTTCAGTTCCCGGTACCGGAGAAAAACCAAAAAAAAAAATAAAAAAATAAAAAAAAAATAAAAGACATACCCATGCTTATAGCAGCACAGTTCATGGTAGCTAAATCTTGGAAGCAGCCTAGGTGTCCGTCCACAGATAAACAGATGCAGAAATGTGGTATTTACACATGGTAGAGTACTACCCTACCATAAGGAAAGACAAATTTAAGTCATTTGTAGGCAAATGGATGCACCTTGAGGCCATATGTTAAAAAAAGTCAACCTTAAGTATACCATGTTTCCTCTTATATGAGAAAAAATATAAATAAAGAGCAAAATAAAAGACAGGTACGAGGAAGTAGGGAGATGGCTATTTCTCAGAAAGGAAGAGGATTAAGACATGGAGGAAGGCAGGGAGGGACAGGAGATGAACAAAGGAATGAAGCTGTGTTCTGTACAAGTGCCAGTCCCTGTAAGGAATGTGATCACTAGGTACTGCAAACATGTGCTAAGACAAAATAAACGAAAAAATTTAAAAGCTTTTTCAAAATGCTAGGGCACTGCTCTTTCCTCAGTAAGCTGAGACAGTTATCTTTGACTGACCAAGTCTCTGACAGTGACTATACAGAAACCACAAGAAGAATGGTGTAAATCTTCCTTGATGAGAGAGAGCCTGCCCGGAAAGTAACATGCTCCTCAGTGAGTCATACCAGTATAAGTTTGAGGTTCATACTCATTAAAAGATAACTTTTCTCTCTCTCTCTTTCTAAGTTTTTGTCTTTTTGAAACAAAATTTTGCTATGCAGTTCAGGCTGGCCTTGAACTCACTATGTAGCTCAAGCTGGCCTCAAACTCACAGCAATCCTCCTGCCTCAGCCTCCCGAGGGCCAGGATTACAGGTGCATGCCACCACGCTCAGCAAAAGATAAATTTTCAGTGCGAATAGAATTGTGATTTTCATACAATATAAAATGAACATGGATTAGAGAATCAGGAATCAATGAGGGGAACAGATGTCACAAACAGTTCAAAAGAGAATCAACATTTCTAGTCAAATAAAAAATGTGAAATGAATTTACCCATAAACTCAAACTGGCAAAATTGGTCAACATCCACGTGAGCCCAATTTGCATTTTTATGCACAGGAATTATTTGGACTGCACTGAATTCACTTCTATGTTTAAAAGATTGCAAAATGGCCTCATTAGAGCAAACACAGGCACAGATAGCCCACATAGATAAAGCTTGATGGGACACTTAAATTTGAAAATCTTTCTTGTTTTTTTCTTATTGCGTATAAACATCCCTTTCTAGGATGTTTTTGGAACATCTGGCGCCTTTATAAGGGTAAATAAATTAAGGTTCAGAAATTATCTAGTGAATAAAATTAGTCACTGAAGCCTATGCGGGGGCGGGCACTAATTTTCTCTCTGCTATTCATGGTTCTTAGCTGCAACAGAGTCTATTACCAAAGAGAAATGAGTGAGAAAAAGCAAACAGAAGTTTAACAACATCTCTGCCTTGTGTATACTTTAAGAGACTCAGAAACTCAAAAGCAGTGGCCTTGAGACTGTGGTACAGATTGGTGTCTTTTCCACTGATGAGCATTTCTGGTGATTTAGTGATTCTCTTCTTCGTCCAGAGAAGACAGTTTTAAAACGAACAGTTCCTTTGTAGATGCCAATTTCCATTACAGAAGTATAATTTTTACCATTTCCAGAACTGTTCTTGTATCTACAGTTTTTCAAAATCATCCTTATGCCAAAGTGACACATTCTGGGCTACTATAGGTCAAAGATAACCATATTCAGGAATTCCTAAGGTCAAAAGCACTACCCTTCAGG